TTTATTTATTTTTTTTCATTTTTTATTTTATTTCTTTTTTATTATTAATGGAACTATTGGCATTATATGCTGAATATGTTTATTTATTTATACCTCTTATAAGATTTACATATATAGTATAATTGCTAATATCTATTCACCTCTGATATGCAGTAATTAAAATAAGAATAATGCAATAATACAACTATAAAATATTATACAAATTTTTAATTTAGATATATTCCAACAGYTACATATTTATTTATTTGTTAGACTTTACAGTTAATATAAAGTTAAAAATAACTTAAGAGGGCCTTCGGCTGATTCACACATATCAAGATATATATCGCACATGCTGTATGCAAATTTATCCAGATGCTAAAAATGAGAGTCAACTAGCACTTGTAATACTAAACGAAAACTTTCTGCTTAAATGCCAACGCCCACCACCAAATGCCGCATTAAAATGTCGCGCTGCTGGTCTGAATAGGGCAAGGGTCAAGGGGCGGCAGGCGTGGGGCAGGTTGGCGATAGTCTAAACTGTTTGCGCGTCCCTGGCCACATAATTAGAGCTTTGCCGTTGCCGTGGCGCCATTTTAAAATTGGCGCATAAAATGTCAATTTGATGTCATTGGATCAACTTAAATGCGCTGCCCAGAATGACGATGGGGATCCCTTCAGCTCTGCTCCGCCCCTGCCCCCGCCCTTGCTCACGCCTGTGCCAGTGTCCGTGTTTCCTGGCTGGCAATTTACAATGGCCCGAAATGATTTCCCGGCCTCTGTTGCTGTTGCGGTTGTTGCACTTGCGGGTTAATTTTGGCATCACGTTACGCGATGACCTCACAACTTTTCCATATGGGGGCAGCGGCTGACTCGCCGTGTTTCGGCGGCGGTTCGACCCGTCTGTGAGTGTCTGTGACTCTGATGATGTKTTGGTGCTTCATTTTGGAAAGCTGCCCTATGTTGTGCTGGGCGTGGTCCGTTGGCTACCACAACAACAACAACAACAACATATGCCTGTCGCAGCAGCAACACATCAGCAATGACAACAACAACAACAACAACATCAACTGCTGCTGGCCTCGTCAGCAGATTAGTTTGCTTAAATTGATGGCAACTTAGCGCTAATAACAAGGACGCAATGTGTTGCTTGTTTCGCCTATGCTTGCTAAAATGTTTGCTCTGCATACCTTGAGGTGCCACCGAATGGGCCAAGTGGGTCAGCGTCCACACACCGCTTCAAAACGCAACCTATTGAGTGGCTCGCTATGCGCTCTGTGGCTTAATTAAACGATATGGCCAGTGCATTAATCAATTTTTTCTTGCTGAGCTATGCGTCCTACTGCTTTCTATATAAACTTTGCATATTTCCCACGTGTACTCTGTACCACGCCCACCACATACACACCCACACACACTCACTCACATATGCATAATTTACCATTCTTATGGCGTTTTTGGCATAACTTTTGCTTACTTTAAATAAATCAACGTTGGCCATGTGAGCGCCAGTGCACAGCGCCGCTTTGAATAACTTTTTTGATATATGAACAGCACTCCAGCGACAGAGTTTTTGGGGAGCATTACAACCTGGCAGCAGCAGCAGCAGGAGCAGCAGCAGCAGCACCTGTAGGGAGTCTCGTAAAGTATGCAACAGTTAATAAAAAATGGATATCAAGATACACACACATACATATACAGCTGGACTAGGGGAATTGCTCTTCCAGCAGTTTTGTTTCGAAAAATGCAAAGAAATTGATTGTTTCAGAATTGATTAAAGCGAGTAAATTCTGTTATGACAAGACTTTGCACCAAATAGCTTCAAACTCTCTGCAATTGCGTATGCTGGACAAGCGATGCATAGTTATCCTGTGGAATAAATAGTATTACGTATACGCCATGTCATATATTAAAGTTGTTTTTTAGAATGAAATTCATTTTTTG